CGGCCAACATTGGAGTCGATGGTCCCACCTGAGTAGATGACTGCCACAGTGTTGAGCACCCTCTACTATCTTTCTCAGCATGCTTGCCGGACTTTGGTGCAGGGACCTCGATCTGGATACAGAGTCCTTAGAAGCTATTTTCTTCAGTACTGGGCAAGGTGACTAGCATCAGGGTTTGGCCAAAACAGGGGGAGTGTTCCTGACTGAAGAGGTTGTGCTTAGTACTAGCTCTGAATGGGAAGGCTCTGAGGGTGGGCGCAGGGCTGCCTCCATCAGAAGAAATTTAGGTCTGGCCTCCCCGTTTTTCTTGATTCTTGGCTTAAATTCCCTGCAGATTTGGCAGCGATCCCTTACGTGAGTCTCTCCAAGCCAGTTCAGGCCAGTGGAGTGTAGGTTGCTCACTGACATGTTTCTTGCGGGACTCACGTGGTTCAAAGCCTGGTGACCAAGGCATGCCCCGGCACCAAAACCAGCATCTAACAAAAGGAACTGAAGATTATACACCTCCCCAGTCTAATAAAGGAAACTTAATACTATTACTAATTTTAACACTAAAAAACTATGACTAAAAGTGAGTACCAACCATATATAAACAGTGGGGAAAATCTTGAGGTAGCAACCTAAGACACTCCAACAACTGTCACGGGCAGTAAGAAGGGTCGTGCCTGGCTCTGCCCTTTATTCCATTACAGAGCAGTGGGAGGAAGAAGAGGGTGCATACCCCACCCTGATGGATACCACAGAGGGAAAAATCTCTGAAAGTGCTCTGGGCACACACACCTGAAGTGGAATGGACATGTGCAATCACTCAAAGTATAAAATTGAACTGAATTTAGAACTTTATATATGGAAATAATGCTATTTAATAAAAATCAAACAATGACAAAATATGCAGAGATTGGCGTGAGTTAAATGTCACATGATTAATTTAAATGCATATGCAGTTTAACATGGGTGAAAAAAACATGAATGTTGGGTGCGGCAGCTATAGGATTTCAGCCCCTACAAATCTAACATGTTCTACCTAGATGCCTTAATTAAAATGGTGGTTTGTATTGGGTGTAGCCCACAAATTAAAACTGATTTGCACAAATTCTTAAATACACATGATTCTATATTAGGCAGCTAGACACTAAAGACAATATCAGGCCATTTTAAATCCCAAGTTTAGATTGTGTAAAAATAAGGATTTATAAAACTCAAAAGTCAATAGAAAAGTTGTTGGACATTTAAAGAAAAATTCCAATAGAAGTTTTTTATTTAAGTATTTCTCCTACAGTGTTTGCAAGCCAAATGCTTCAGTATTTTCCTAGTGCATGAAAAACAGAGAACAAAACTGTCTAGAGACGAAAGTAAAAATAATTAATTTTCATATTTCAAGTTGTGAAAAAATGCATAAAAGTAAACCAAGGGCTTTTCTACATTTGAAAGTTAATTTGGATTAAGTTAGGGTATGCATTTAAAGCACAACAGCTATGCCTCCACGTGTGAACATTCTTATTCCAGAATAGCTATACCTGAATAGTTATTCTGGAATAACTCCTGGCCTAGACAAGCCCATAACACCTAACTATTGAAAAGTAAACTTTCTTAGGCCAAGATCCTGCAAACATGCTTTACTTTATGCACATGAGTAGTCCCATAAGCTTTACAGGACTACTCATGCAAGTAAACTTATGGACATGCCAAAATGTTTGGAGGACTGGGGTCTTCCTTTGTAAAAATATATGGAATTTTTAACCTGAAGATGTCAATTTAAATGAAAATACAAACTAATATCTACCAGGGGAATGCTAGCATTTCATTCATTTCTTATATTTCTCTGTTACCATTACAATTGCCTCTGTTATTTTTGCAGATAGCTCACACGTGTTCAGTCGTACACAAATACTGTATCACTCCTCCCCCCCGCCCTTCCCAAAAGTCAGCCAGCTGTTACAAAATTCAGACATTTGTTAACACAATTTACTGTCTGATACTGCTAAGCAAAATAGAGACAATTAATAATTATCAGAACTGAAGAGTCTGAGACAGCTTATGAGTAAAGGATTATATTAGCTGTTTAAAAAGGACAAACAAGTTCCTGCCTCAAGTAACACAAAACAAAGGGCAGTGATGTATATAACCAGTGAGGAAAGAGACGCTCTCAATGTCTTTTGTAGATTACTGTGTGAGTGACAGAAGCGGCAGGAGCAAATACCTCTTTTCATTTGCTCAGCCTGTTTGAGAAGAATAGCTATGCTTGCCAAGGAAGCTGCAGCTGTGCTCCAGCCCAGTTTAATCACTGTGTATGGCTGAGGGTTAATTAGCTGCCATTCTTACTGGTATTTGTTGTTCTAATGAAGATTTGCATAAATGTAAGACTACTGGGTAACTGATACTTGATTTTTCCCTTCAAAGTGTGTGTGTGTGTGTGTGTGTGTGTGGAGGGGGGAACTCACACATCCTAAGTGTTTATATTTGTGGGATATTCAGTGTTGCCTTTCCATTTGACCTGATCTGCTTCTGCCTGTTTGATGAATGGTGAACAAAGAGTTCAAGGTTGCTTATCGACTTGAGCCCCCTGCTGGGTCTCTGCCTCTAAAATGAGGCAGTATACCTTAGCCGAAGGGAGGGCAAAGTGGATTGAAAACTGCTCCCAGCTAATAGAGAATATATATACAATATTTCTCCCAGATGTGCCAGGGCTATTTTCAAAATGATTCCCCCACTGAGAGAAAGAGGGAGTCAATTTACAACACCATGTTCAAATTAGATTGCAGGGAATGTCTAATCCAACACTTTGTTAATGATAAAATAGCACCAGAACTGGACTCAGAAAATGAAACAAATGGCACAAGCAAGAGAACTGTTAGAGTGCAGCCAGACATATAAATAAGTAGCGCTATCACATCAGGCTGCAAAATGAAAAATAAGAGCCCTTAAATTTGTAGAAGTCTTCAATTTCAAAAACATACCACTAAAATACAGAGTTCACATGTACGTAAATTACCAAGAATAGGAATAAACAAACAACCCAAAAGACAGGAAACAAAGAGCTCAACATTTCACATTCAGGAGAGGTGAGCTCACAAAGCAAAACATAGGAACACTATTCATTCCTCAAAGTCAAGGTATGAAATACACAAGTCATAGTAAGCAAATCCCCAAAGAGTATTTAAAGGGATACTTAACTTAAAAAATCAAACTTTTGTACAAAATGATTTACCAACTACAGTTACAATAACACCCAAGATTACTATAATTGAAAGAGATTACAGGGGAAAAAAACACTTCTTTCCTCAATCTTTTTGAGTTTGTTTACTTTGTGCGCTTGACAGCATTCTTTGTATAGTCACATTTACTGTTTCCCCTGTATACTCATCCAGTTTCTGCTGTTATTTTGTGTGGGTATTTCACACAAACATAGGGGAGGAAAAAACATTAAGAAAATAAAAATCCGATCGTAAAACTACAAAAAATGGCAGGGGTGCTACAGGGCAGGTGAATTACTTTTAATTCACTATTTGAAAGAGATTATATTTTCAAGTTGATAGTGTCCCTTTAGAGACCAGACCGCCCCCCCAAAAAACTATTTATATTTCCAACTTCTAACTCAAACACAGCTTTCCCACTAACTTTTAAAGTGCCCATATATCACTAACAGAAAACTCCATATTTTCCATTAATGTCACCATACCCCTTATGCTTATTCTAAAGACTCCTAGACTACTAGTTTTCTTTTCTTTACACTTGTGTTACCACTCCAGCTGTATCAAAAGACAAGCCTCTGCTCAATAAAATGTATAGTGAGAAGTGTGCACATGAAGTCCCTCCAACACATCAGTAGGGGGCGCCCTAAACACCAGAAATAAACATGCCTGAAGTCACAAGGTATTAGTAACTGTCCAGTCTCCTTTACTGTTTCAGATTTTAACTGGGACATTGTGAGCATTACCAGGATCTCATTTTTCCTGTAAGTTTGGGCTGCGTTATTTCAGTCACCACAGGTAACTATATATTGGACTCCTTTTTACATCTAACTGCAGCTTTTTGTATCACATCTAAGGCAACCCCAAATGAAGGAATTTAGCCAAACACTTGCCTAGCCTCAGAATTTCATTGTGAGCCTTGAGATATTTTAGTGTTTTTTTTAAAGCCCCAGCTCCTGGAGGACTGTGATTACATGGGAAGCTCAGTTTTCTTTCTTCTTCTTCTTTTTTTAAATTAAGTTTCTAGCTCTTTTGGTTTGGAAAAAAACAAAACAAAACTTCAAAACATGAATCTTAAAGGCTTAGAAACCAGAAGGGAAATAAAAAGACTCCAGAATGTATCATGTTAAAAATCTCATGACACGTAAGCCAATTTCATGAGTTTTGGGAGCCTGACTCATTATTTTGGAATGTTTCGGATCCTCAGTCGTACAATCAGAATCTGTCCTTGGTCATTGGGGGCAGGACAAAGGTGGAGCCACAGGCCTAGCAGTCAGTAGGAAGCAACCAGATGTGTGACTGAAAGTTGAGGGGTCTGGTTAACCACTATACTAGTTAATAAGAGTGACTGCCTACTCTCTACATTAATGCCTATTATTTGTAAACTGTTTTGTTAGCCTTCCACCAGAATTGTACTATAATACTCTTTTCAGAAGGATGTCTAAATGAAAGCTTTCCATTTCAATGTTCAGTAATATTATCTGGCTGTAATATCCCACATTTCTCAAATAGCACTTACCACTAGGGATATGTTAGGGATTAAACTCTTTAGTTTGAAATAGCGTATTTTTATTCTCAAACGCTAAAAATGCACCTGCCCTTCTGACAATATGTTTTCTCTTTAATTTATATCACGTACATTTTTTCACTTAGCATTATAGCAATCACATGCACTAAATTTTAAATCTACATTTTATGTCTTATTTTTTTTTTACACAGTAGTAAAACACTGTACCAAGCAGATACTAATAGATAACAGAAAGCTAGATGTGAATGAATGCAAAAGTAAAACCAGTGTTAATTTCTTACCAGGGTTGCAGTCTGTAAGAAGTGAGCAGATGGAGAGGAGAACTTTAGAAATGGTTAATGCTGGACTCCAGTTGTCTTTTAAAATGTCAAGGCAGATCACTCCTTGGCTGTTAATATTACAGTGATAGATTCTTGTCCGAAATGTAACCTAGAAAAGACAGTGTCTAAGTATAAAGGTGTTTAAAACCAACAATTCCAGTATTATTATGATAAAGTAGTTACAAAATCTTATCAGTTAAAGAACATTCTGCTTTCCTGAGGCCAGTGTAACTTTGCAGAGTGATACTACTAAGCTGCGTTCAATTAAAAGTTGTGTAAGTTTTAAGATATTTACTATAGTACAAATTCTGCACCTCTCTCTCTGGCTGGTAACAGAACTGATTTGGTGTCAGTGTGCATGGTTCGGACATGGTTCCAGAGATACATTTGTATGGAGTCTCCTGACCTCCCTTATCTCTGCACAGGAGCCACAGAGTGCATTTTAACCACTGATCTGGAGTCATCTCCATGAAGTCACTCTACAGCGATTTCCGCCTTTGAGGGGAGGAGGAGGAAGGATTTCTCCCACATACCATCCCATCTGCCTAGCACCTGGCCCAGCTCATTGGAGTGGGTGTTGGACAGCTTAATGACTGGTAGAAAAACCTGACATAAAATATCCTGGGGTAGGTAGACAAATTCTTTAGGAGAGGCTGACACAATAACCTTATTTGCATTTCCAAATTTAAAATCACAAATGAACCAGTTGGAATTGCATCTACATATCTTTTCCTTTGTTGTTTATATTATAATTTTTTTGATGTTTGTACCCATTCTAGTTCACATCAAATGAATAGAGCCCTGCAAGTCCGTGAGTATCTGCTTTATATCCGTGGACCATTTCTGCGGATAGCAGTGCGGCTGCGGATACAAATTTTGTATCCACGCAGTACTCTGACGGTAAGAGCCGGGTGGGCAGCTGTAAGGAGCCACGGAACGGACCCTCCACCTGCCCTGCGAGGTGGAGGGTCCACCATGGCTCCCCACAGCTGCCCGCCCAGCTCCTGCCTGTGGCTGGGCTGCGACTCCGAGCCACCTCCCCCCCCAGAGGAAGCCATGTCAGGGAGAGCCGCACTGGCAGCTGTGGGGAGCCTGGATCCCTCCACCCGCCCTGGGAGGGGGGCTGCTTGGGCTCCCTGCCCAGGGCAGGTGGAGGGACCCAGACTCCCCACGCGTCTCTCCCTGACTGGGTTCCGGTGGGGAGGATACCTTGGAGCCTCAGTCCGGCCCCCAGTGTAGAGCCCTGCAAATCCATGGATATCTGCAGATACCCGCATCTGCGGATGCAGATATGCACAGATAATATTTGCGGATCCTGGAAAGGATAAGGATACACATTTGTGTATCTGAACAGGGCTCTTCAGTGAACCTATACTGAACACACCAGAAGGGTAGCCTGCCTTTCCTTCTTCTGTGCTGGAGTAATGTGTGTACCTGTCCTAAAGTGTGTCCTGAAAATACAGGCCTTTTACTTTCAAATAATTTCAGCTGTAAAAGAAAGGTGTGTGGTTATTGGATAGAAAGGGCCTATGTAAAAATGACATCTTGGTGTTCCTTAGTTATTCCCCATCAGCAATTTGTTTCCCTATTAGATTTACTCATATGACAAGTCAAAACAAGATTTTTATAATGACTTGCTCAACATGGCAGCTAAAAATCAAGATGTATCATTTCTGTGGAATATCTCACCAGCAACAATAACTTTCTGGAGTCTAAATTAAGTCAAGAAATGGGTTGATTATGCATGAGACAGTACTGACAGCAATAAAAACTTGATGACAGCTCTGAATCTACTCTTATTTTAAGCAAGGACAAAATTTCTGTTTTCAATGGGATCCAAATGGGAACATTTGTCAGTAAACTAAGCAGATGATGCAAATATGTACAATAACATACTGCTATTTTAATCATGTAAATATTCTTTAACTGGTTGAACACTTCTTCAATCCCTTTACCTCAGTCTTCCAAATAGCCTTGATAAGAGAAAGGAGTGAAAAGCCAGTAGATTTCTATTGGTAAAGCATTGGAGGCAATGAAAAATACTTCTTCCTCATAACTACTTTTTCACAGAGATCTAGAAAGGCAATATTTGGATCCCTGTTTGCATGAATCAGTGAGTTACGTAACAAAGAACCAACTATATCAGGTTTAACTGCTTTTAAATACATTTATGCCTAAGGTTATTATGAACTCATAAGCTGATGGAGCAGTTTGCTAGTCTATACTCCATATATCTGTGCTTTTCAGTGAAGTTGTGCTTTCAATTAATCTTTTTCAGGCTGGCTTACCTACATGCTTTCTTCTGATACCTTTATAACCCTTTAAAAATATTCCTGCATCCTGCATCTCCAGCCCAGTAAGTTACTACAGCAAGTAGATCTATCTGGGAGGAAGGCACAAAGTCATTGTGCTGGCTACAGGTCAATTGAAAATCTCTCTGCTATAAGGATATTCACTGAAGGCTGGTTCTGTCCCCTTTGCATCAACAGAATGGTATAAATAAGCCACAATTTAGGAGACAACTGGAAATATTGTTTCCTCCTCCAGATGACTCTGTCCTGACTCTGTAGCACGCCAGCCTCCATTGCAGCCAACTCGGGAAACTAACTGCACTTGAAAATTCCTAGAAAGTATAAGTGAGACAGGAGCATCTCATTCCCTCAGATACTGACTCCCACATATCTGATGTTCTATTTGTCACACACACAATCTTGCTTTTTGCAGGGCTATCTCCATCTATTGTGAGGAGACAAGAAGCCAGCTGACAATATTACTCTAGGGAGTATTACATTATCTACAATATGGTCAGATTTTTACACTTGATACTGTTTAAATGTGTCCTGTAAAGGATGCAGTCTAATGTTTCCATTTATTCCTTAATACAAAAGTCTAAATACACTCCTACTAACATTCAAAGGTTTATGGGTATATGCAGAAAGTTATCATCAGACAAATGAATGACAGATGAGCAAATTCCATTTCCCCAAAGATATCTGTCCTCTATGGACTCATTTTCTTTTATACTGTAGTGCATACAGAATATCTTATTTTCACAGGATATATGTGCAGGTCAGGGAACTGTACTTTACAGAAAAGGGGGGAAAATAGGACAATTTTCTGAAAACAATAAAAATACCATAGGAGGTTATAAAGGTAACCTGTAAGGAATTTAAATGAATTCAAACAATTTTGGCAATAAATAATAATAATGATAAATACATTTATCTAGTGCTCCACAGCAAAGTTAGTTGGGTTCTATTAACAGAATAAAAACAAAAGTCTAACCTCTTTAAATAAAAACAAATGAAGTTAAGAACATAAGACCAGCCATACTGGGTCAGACCAATGGTCCATCTAGCTCAGTATCCTGTCTTCCAATAGTGGCCAATGCCAGGTGCCCCAGAGGGAATGAACAGAACAGGTAACCATCAAGTGATCCATCCCCTGTCGCCCATTCCCAGTTTCTGGCAAACAGAGGGACACCATCCCTGCCCATCCCGGCTAATTGATGGACCTATCCTCCATTAATTTATCTAGTTCTTTTTTGAACCCTGTTATAGTCTTGGCCTTTTCAACATTCCCTGGCAAAGAGTTCCACAGGTTGACTGTGCATTGTATGAAGAAATACTTTCTTTTGTTTGTTTTAAATCTCTCTGATTAATTTAATTTGGTGACCCCTAGTTCTTGTGTTATGAGGAGTAAATAACACTTCCTTATTTACTTTCTCCACACCAGTCATGATTTTATAGACCTCTATCATACCCCCCCGTAGCTGTCTCTTTTCCAAGCTGACAAGTCCCAGTATTATTAATCTCTCCTCATATGGAAGCAGTTCTATACCCCTAATCATTTTGTTGCCCTTTTCTGTACCTTTTCCAATTCCAATATATCTTTTTTGAGATGGAGTGACCAAATCTGCATGCAGTATTCAAGATGTGGGCATACCCTGGATTTATATAGAGGCAATATGATATTTTCTGTTTTATTATCTATCCCTTTCCTAATGATTCTTAACATTCAGTTAGCTTTTTTGACTGCCGCTGTACATTGAGTCGATGTTTCAATGACTCCAAGATCTCTTTCTTGAGTGATAACAGCTATTTTAGACCCCATCATTTTATATGTATAGTTGGGATTATGTTTTCCAATGTGCATTACTTTGCATTTTTCAACACCGAATTTCATCTGCCATTTTGTTGCCCAGTCACCCAGTTTTGTGAAATCCTTTTGTTACTCTTGGCAGTCTGCTTTGGATTTAACTATCTTGAGTAATTTTGTATCATCTGCAAATTTTGCCACCTTACTGTTTACTCCTTTTTCCAGATCATTTATGGATATTTTGAATAGTACTGGTACCTGTACAGACCCCTGGGGGACACCACTATTTACCTCTCTCCATTCTGAAAACTGACCATTTATTCCTACTGTTTGTTTTCTATATTTTAACCAAGTATCAGGGGGTAGCCGTGTTAGTCTGTATCTACAAAAACAACAAAGAGTCTGGTGGCACCTTAAAGACTAACAGATTTATTTGGGCATAAGCTTTCGTGAGTAAAAACCTCACTTCTTCGGATGCATCGGATTCCACACTGGCACCTTATTATAAATTATGAAGGAAAAAGTATTAAAGTTGAAAAAAATATTTGAGACTACTTTTTTTATAGCCCCACCTTTAGTTGTGACAATACTAACAAATCACTTGAGTTTGGCTCTTGTGCAGTGACACAAGAAATGTTTAAAAACAACAAAGAGTCTGGTGGCACCTTAAAGACTAACAGATTTATTTGGGCATAAGCTTTCGTGAGTAAAAACCTCACTTCTTCGGATGCATCGGATTCCACACTGGCACCTTATTATAAATTATG